AGTTTTTTAAATGTTACTACTTGTTTCAAAACATTCAGCAAACATTCAAAAGTATAACGTTCCCATAATGTTTGCCAAATGAAAAATGCATTGTTACCTTATAACACAGAGCAGTGTTATTTTAGAATCATTGAGATACTATTAGTTTTATTGATATTTTGAATCAGATTTTATTTTTAGATTTTCTTTTTCATTTTAATTTTAGTTAAAGATTTAGTAATTTTATTTTTGTAATTTTTTGCTGTTTTAGTTTTTTTTTTAAATTCATGTCTATATAGTTTTTATTCATTTCAGTTTTAGTTATTTTAGTACATCGAGTTACACTAAATTAAAATGAGAAACGTTGCCTTGGAAACTAGCTGAAATAAAAAGTTTTTGATATTTTATTATTGTATGTAAAGTAACAAAAATGCTTTTTTATTTTAGTTTAATTTCTAGTTTTAGTTAACTATAATAGCCCTGCTTCGGAGAACATTCAGAAATAATGTTTTCATAACTTAACAAGAACATCAGCAAAGTGTTTTTGCACACATTAGTGTTCTCTGGGCCTGATGTTGTGCTGAGTCCTGCAGAAGAGCAGCTGATGGACGGATGACGGAGGAGGAAGGGCGCTCTGACCTCCTCATCCTCTTCCTGGATGCTGCTGGAAAGCCCTTCAGGAAGAGGGTGTAGCTAATGGGATGGATATCCGGATCCTCCCTGTTTTTCCTTCCAGAGCCATTGTTCCCACAGCCTCGCTCACCTTCGGAGGACGCGCTGTTCTTCTGCCGAACAACACAGGAGATATGAAGAGACAGAAACCTCTGCATGATCTGAAGACACTCACACACACACACACAAACACACACACTCACACACACACACTCACACACAGCTCCAGTGCGTTTGAATCATACAGAGCAGAGTGGAAATCATTTTCCTCCATCAGACATCAGAGAGCGGCCCGATTCAGAGCTCAAGCCGCTGGACCTGCAGGCCTGTAATTACGGCCGACTAGGAGCTCAGTCATGGAGCGAGCAGATACAATAACATCACAAAAACACTTCAGACCAACCTCACGAGGTCTCAGAGGGCGAAGGAGCCCACCGCACCAGAAACAGCTTCTGATGGAGCCGCAACGTTTATACATCAGGAAACCCGAATCATTTTCCATCATGAATGTTGGTGAAGTCACTGACATCCATCAGAGGCGGTGGGTGGATGAGGACAAACTCCAGCGCTTCACTGCTGCCACCTGCTGTCCTCAACAACCAGCACTATACACTCCTAATGAAGCTCTGTCAGCATCAGAACCCTTAACATCCATGGAACCTTTCCAGTCGAAAAAGGTTCTTCAGATTATTCAGATGTTCTTCACTCTTAGAAAAAATGGTTCTTTTGAGAACTGTTCCCTGAAAGGTTCTTTGAGGAGCCAAAAATGGTCCTTCTATGTGAAAACACTTTGTATTGTATGAGCAATCAATGCATGTCCACTGGATTAGATTTCAGTGATATGATCATCTGTTGTTGTTTTCCATCATTCTTATACAGTATCTGATGCTGTGAGGATGAATTACAGTAATCTGGGGCATTTTCCTGTGAGCCCCTATGCAAAGAAAATATATTTCCTTATATATTAACAATCAATATATTACATTATTTAATGAAAATACACAGAATCATACTAAATCTATTTTTCCTTCCATGTTGCCATGATTTTAACAAAGCATCCAATTGTCCAAAAATCCTAATAATTTATTATTTGTTCTCAGTGAATAATTTTTTCTTATATACCATTACATATTTTTTATACATATGAAAAGTTTAACTTTATGCAAACAATAAAGTGAGATAAAAGTGTTTAAATATCATCTTTATGTAAACACATACATTAACTCATGAAAGAGATATGAACGAACTGTTTCAATAGTTATAACATGTAAAACTGTAGTGCATTTTTTTCTTCATTGCTACATATTTTATACATATGAATATATAGCCATACATGGTCTATGCATATATTGCAGTATATTGGAAAATACAAGCACTGGCTTCCTATATATGAAAATGTATTATTTGATATATTGCATTATATTTCCATATATTTTTGCGTCATAAGAGAGTCCAACAAAATGACATTTAATCACATGCTAAACCTGTGAGAATATGGCCATGTTGACCTTGAATTGCTTAGACACACATGCCATTTTATATTCCAATATAATATTCACTCAGGAGCAAAAGTACATCTGTAATGAGTGCGTGACCTACTTGAGCTGAACGTTTACAGCAGCTGTCAGAGCAAAATCAGATTTAAAGCATCTTATTGTGGACGACATGTCAGCCGGTGTTTTATTCATGTGAAGTCAGAACGTCTCATTCAGGTCTTCGTCCTTCACTCATGTCCTCTCTGCCGAAGCCTCACACTCACTTAATATTGAATATCATCAGACACAGTGCACAATGTCAGGCCATATGAATTATTAACTGAGACAGAAGCTGACCAGAGGTTCGTTCAGGACAGAGATTCACCTGAAGAAGATTTAATATGGATTTAATATGCTGAAACTCTTCTTACTAAAGTACTAAATAACAGCCATATTAATGCCATGAAGATCTGACAAAACAAACTGAATATATATATATAAGAAATATCACACTCGTAGCAGTGAATAATTTATTGCTGTATGTGTGAATAATAGGTAATCACCTAATCAATAAAAAGTAACTATACTTTTTTTTTTATTACAAGTATTTAATTTTTGGAATCTGATTACGTAATCCAGATTACATGTAATCAGTTACTACCCAGCTCTGATAATAGACAACAGTTATTTTAAATTATGTAATAATATTACTGTTTTTACTGTTTTTATTGGATTTCTAATCCAATAAACGCAAACTTGGTGAGAAAAACAAAACAAGAGAGACAACTTCTGTCTTAATGAATATATGTCATTAAGCAGTCTTAAGTCGCTGGGGTATATTTGTAGCAATAGCCAACAATACATTGTATGCATCAAAATTATCCATTTTTCTTTTATGCTAAAAATCATTAGGATATTAAGATCATGTGTGTATGAGAGTGTGATGTTCAGAGCTCTTTATACTGTTGCACTGTTGTTTATGAGTCCTAAAATTCAAGACGCTGCGAATAATGACAGCATTAAACGGCACGAGGGCTTGATGGTCTGATCACTGAAGTGCTGATCCATCCGGTCTGATCACATGTCACTAACTCAGCAGAATCACTTCAGCTTCTGCACACTTCTCATGCTTTATGTTCTCAAATTAAAACTATCAAAATGCTCATGTCATACTGCTTTTGTGTTGTTGTTATGCATCCAATATATATCTTTTTTGGCCAAAATATATTTGAAAAACATGCAAAATATAAGTTGTAAACAATGAAATATATTTTTGAAATTTAAAATATATTTAGTTTCAACCTTCATATTTAAAAATGTATTTTGGGGCAAGAAAATACATTTCCAATCTTACAGTAGCATACATTTAGACAAAATGCAAATGTGGATGTCAAGTCAAGTCACCTTTATTTCTAGCGCTTCATACAATACTGGTTGTGTCAAAGCAGCTTTACAGTATTAAACAGGAAAATAGTGTGTCAATAATGCAAGAGGACAATAACAAAGAGTCATTTTTCCAGCTAAAGTCAGTTAATTGATGATTCAGTGACGTCATCATCCAGTTCAGCTCTCATCCAATAGTGTCTGTGCAATCAGTCAAGCATCCCCAACTAAGCAAGCCAAAGGCGACAGCGACAAGGAACCAAAACTCCATCGGTGACAGAAATGGAGAAAAAACCTTGGGAGAAACCAGGCTCAGTCAGGGGGCCAGTTCTCCTCTGGCCAGACGAAACCAGCATGATGTGGTTTAATTCCAGGCTGCAGCAAAGTCAGATTGTGCAGAGGACTCGTCCGGTTAGTGAAATGTGTTAGTGTGTTATGTGTAAGCCAGGTTAAAGAGATGGGTCTTTAATCTAGATTTAAACTGACAGAGTGTGTCTGCCTCCCGAACAATGTTAGGAAGGTTATTCCAGAGTTTGGGAGCTAAATAGGAAAAGGATCTGCCGCCCGCAGTTGATCTTGATATTCTAGGTATTATCAAATGGCTGAACTGGTATGTTTCGCAGAGCCGCGAAGAAATATAGAGCTGAGTGAAAGCTAACACCATGTTTCTTGATGGTATCTCCCAAGGGTAACATGTAAAGTGTGAAAAGCAACGGTCCTAGTACTGAGCCTTGAGGCACTCCATACTGTACTTGTGATCGATATGATATCTCGTCATTTACTGCTACGAATTG